GAATATGCCAGTAATGTCCGGTCGCCATATACCATCAAACACAAATCATTAATTGAAAATATTCAGCGGCGAGCGACGAAGTTTATACTGAATTACCCGAACGAAATGTCCTATACAGAGAGGCTAATTAAAACAAACATCCTTCCATTAGAATTCCGCCGAGGGGCGAGAGATCTCCGACCTGTTGCTAGTTTTCAAATCAAAAACCGGACTAATATCTATGGATGTCAATAACTATTTATGCACCTTCGAACCAGGCTATAAATCACGACGCAATTACGACGAAAACAATTTCAACTTCCTGATTAATCACAAACAGGACTACTTTAGGAACTCTTTTTTTATAAGATCAGCCAACCTGTGGAACAGTCTTTCATCAGAACTGAAATCTCTATTAATTAACTCTAGTATATCCATATTTAGAGCCAGGCTACGCGAGTTCTATAATGCTAAATTACCATCATATAGTCCTCCTGGCTGCATCTAAGTAAATTTAATATTATATAATATAGTTGTTTGTTTAATCATATACTAGTATTGATAGGGGTAAAGTGTCAATTGGGATGCAAGTCCTGTTCTTTTCTCCAGTCACGTCTATGTTTAGTGTGTTATCTTGTAAGAATGTTGTGTTAGTGTTGCTTGTTTGCTAGTATACATTTTTTGTATATATCTATATAAAGGTGACGAAATTATTAAATTAAATTAAAAGTGTATATTTGTGTGATATGTTATATATGCTTTATTCTAATAAAATGTTATTCACACTAAGCATTCCAATTCTTTGTTTTTTATCCAGAGACGTCATGTACGCTACAGCGTACCTATTTTTAAAATTGCTGTTATTGCTGTGCAGTTTATAATCAGAAATCATTTAAACTCTTTATAATAAATTATTTGGGATGGGAGGTAGGCTTACCCTTGCCCTCCCCAGTGTCTACTACTGTGTGCATATAGTTACATGTACAATTTGTGAATCGTAATTTCTACAACTTACAGATCTAATTCGTAGTACAATCAAACTGTACAGATCAACCCACTGAGTTGCAGCACTCAGCCGTTGAAGAGTAAAATTCTCACTAGACACTGGAATAAAATAGTATCGGCACATCTCGTGGGCGCACTGCCACTTAAGCAGGTTCCCTATAGTAGCACGCTTTTGTTAACATTGTTTGCTATTATGCTTGTGATGTTACTCTGAGTGTATATCCAGACCGGGCAAGCTTAAAAAGTATGCCTGGCCACGGTGGGAAACGAACCTACGACCTTTGGAATACTAGCCCAATGCTCTGCCAACTGAGCTACGCGCGCTCAGGTCGGTTCGAGTACGTGGACAGGCATATTTCCCAAGCTTGCCCGGTGTGGATATACACTCAGAGTAACATCACAAGCATCATATTCACCTGAGTACATTGCACTAACACAGAAAAAGTCATTGTTTGCTATTAATAGCCAAAGTTCATTACTTTAATACGCTGTCCAAGTACCGCGTGTTCCTTAGGTCCCAAGATATATATCACCCCCACCAGGACACCTTCATTCAAACATGCAAGTTCGTATTCTGATTAACATTCTTCTACACTCTGAGTCGCTGACAGGGTTCGAACGATGTCTTTGGGTTTGGGAACAAAAATTCAAGGCCTTGAATATCTTTGAATATGTAAAGAAGTACTTGAAAGTCCTTAAATTCTACGTCTTGCTTTAGTTTATGAGTATTTTTTGAAATTGTTTGACATTCACGGACATTTTATTGAATTGATTTTGCATGTTTATACTGTATATCCGACAAAGCTGTTTGAAATTCATTAAAGTTGCGTTTTGAACAATTCAACGTCGTATTTTACTGATTTATAACGCCTTCTGTCCAGTATGTAGTGCTTGAATTTGTTGATACATGGCCTTGAATCGTCTTAAAAAGTCCTTGAATTTGACTCTTTCTGACATATACGAACCCTGCTCTGAAACACTCTGTTTAAAATTCCTCATGATTAAACCTTCTGGTTGGCCAAGAAATAATCCTATTTGGTTTGAATTATTATTCCTGGTTAATTTACCATGTTATTTTAAGTTTTTCTGGTTATTTTAAATTATTGCGTAGTTAATTTGACCAGGACGTCTTAGTTAAATTAACCACACCTGGTTAAATTTTGATGACCTAGGGACTTCCGGTCCTAAAATCGGGAAGAATTAAGAATCGATATTTTTTACATTTTTCGGTTAGTTGCATCATAGACAATCCAAAAGACATGTCTTTTGGATTGTCTATGGTTGCATCCTTCGACGAACATCTTGATTGTATGTATGACTTTTAACCAACATTTTGCAAAGGTACTGACACAATTGTTTTTCCCCCGTTAGAGAGTGGACAGAAAATGGCCAGTTGTGGGTACAGCAAGTGTCAAGTACACCGGCAACAAGACTTGATGTTGTGAATTTGCAGGTGAAAAGATGATTGTATATATTAGTAATTTGTATTACTGAGTAACAGAATAGTTTTCAGACTTCTACCATTGCTGATGATGATGTTTTCGCACTGCTTGTGTCCAGCTTGTTTGGAAGTTTCAACGGCTCGCTGACAAGATTGTTGGCTGTAGTTAGTTCCAACAATTTATCATCGTACTGCAATTCAACAACTCGTTAATAAGTTGTGAGTGACTTGTATCTACTTGATGAACTAACAACATTGCTACAACTTGTTGGCAAGCTTGCTACAAGTCTTTTGCGAAGACATCTTGTTGACAAGATGGGCACGTACTAAAACATGGAACATTAAGTCTGAACACCAGGGGCCGGCTGTATAAAACTCTTAATCACTTTTTTAATCACTATTTTGTAGTTAAATAGTGATTAACTCTCAAATAGGCGCTTCTTATTGGATGACGTTTGCACTTAATCATAGTTAACTTTAATCACTTTTTTATGCAACCGGCCCCAGAACATTGCGGAACACCTCCGAAACAGCCGGGTACACCTCCAGAACAGCACGGAACACTACCTCTGGAAAAGTCCTCAACAGCCGGAACAGTACTAAACATAAAACCCAGAACATTGCTGGAACATGACTGGAACAACACCTCTAACATATAAACAAGCTTTCGTTGGTAGGGATGTGGACTTGCTAACAAGTCGATCTCGATCTCGTCATATTTATAAAATATGATATATATATATATAAAATATATATATATATATATATATATATATATATATATATATATATATATATATATATATATATATATATTTATTTATAAAATAACCTTTTAATAGAACGCCTGCGCTGATTGGTTGAAAAGCGAAAAATCCCGTGTTTCTATAACGCTATAGAACTCGGGAATTTTCCACGAACCTCAAAACAACACACTAAAACAAACGTTTCCGCCTGAAATATCGATTAAAAATCTTCGTCAACCTGAAATTTTGTTAAACAAGCAATGGAAAACACTTACTAAACGTTTTTTCGCTTTAAATTTTCTTTAAATCAACTTTTTCAGCGTGTTTTTTCCATAATTTTGCAGTCGGCAAAACTGAAAATTGATGCCGGTATTGTTGCTAGGCAACATTTTCTTGTTATTGTGTAATGAGAATATACTTTTTAAGCGCGTTAAAAATATTGTTTTTGTGTTATTATCACAAGGTTATTTAATAAAGGAAATAGAAAACATTTTTTCCTGTGTTTGTATAGAGTTATAGAAACACTTCTGCTAGTTTGGGAGAACTCGAAATAACGTGGTGGAGAAATTTGTTTGAGCATGCGCGAGCAAAATGAGACACGCAATTGCGTGGAATACACGCAACGCGTGTTTACAAAAAGGCACAATCGTGTAAATATTGCTAAGTGTTTGTACCGAATAAATGACTGTTTTATGTTGAAAATGGACATGATCTAAATTAATCATACATAATTTTTGAGGCCACGGCCTCATGAGGCTACGGCCTGTTTTTAAAATATCTTTATTTCTGTTCCGGTCCAGTTTTTAAAATATCTTTATTTCTGTTCCGGTCATCACCAAAATTACACTAAAGCCGGGCTTGAATACACAACAAATTTTGAATCTCATCAAGTACAAAAATATTTAACGTGTAACCAAAATATGCTCATGAAATCGAAATTAATAGCTAAATTTTCAAACTAGACCCTTCTCGAAGCGGTTTTCATGAAGGAAGTTCACATTTCGGCCTTTGATTCTTGGCAAAAATTTGACCACAACACGTGCGAAGCAACTGGGTCTCAAAGACTCAGCTAAAACATTGTGAGCCCCTATTTTCCTGACGATATGTTTGATACCTACAAACGCCATCAAGTTTTTTCTTTTCATTTAGCTATATTTGAAATTGAGGCCACGGGCTATTTTTGAGAAAATACAGTTCAAAGTCAAGCTATTTTTACATATTTTCAAAATTTGTCAAATTTCGCGAGCTTGTATTTTGAACTTAGACAGCTGAAGTTACATTAAGAAACATAGGATGGAAAATTTGAGGCATATAAAGTTAATTTCAACTTACATTTCATTCTCATATCACGTCTTTCTTCGTTTATGACGGTTTTAAACAAGCCATAGATCGACGTATACGGTATTTACTCCCATGTTCACGTCGCCATATTAACTTCTTCCAATCACTCGATTACAAAACAAATCATCCCAAAACAAAGAATTCATAGTCGACTTTTAAAAGAATAACCGTTAATTTGTAAATCGTTGAATGGAAAGCAAAAAATCGTCAGCTAAAACAGCTTCTTGCTAACTTTCTGCTTTGTTTTGAATGTAAATGCAATGACCTTTGTTTCTGCCCGCGATTTTTGGTCAGCGACGACAAATTTCCCACCTGTTCATCCTGCTTGAATTTTTTTCATAAATTGCAAATTGCTAAAATACTAGAATGCCATTTTACATTTTTACTTTAAAGTGCCTATGACACGAAATTTCACCCAAAGGTTTATGGTTGCATTGTAAAGATCACTCAAAATGACTTGATAATTTCTTTTATAGAATTTCGGTAACTTGCTCCCTTTTCAAGATATTCAACTTTGTTTCATATGCAAATATCAGCGGTGTGACATCACATCACATAATGAGTTTTCAGAAAAGTATAGTTGACGAATACGTATCTAAAAAACTTACAAATTGCCCTTGTTTTCGAAATGTGATTATGCGATGTGATGTCACACCGGTGATATTTGCATATGAAACAAAGTTGAATATCTTGCAAAGGAAGCAAGTTACCAAAATTCTATATAAAAGAAATTATTCAGTCATTTTTGGTGATCTTTACAATGCAATCATAAACATTTGGGGTGAAATTTCGTGTCATAGGCACTTTAATATATTGTATAGAAATCAAGGCATGTTTGATTTGAGCAGTTTTCCAAATTTTTACAACGATGAAAACGCCACAAAAATATTAAATACATAATAATATAACTTATATACAGGGCGAGGTTTGTATTTTGGCGAGGTTTGTATGAGCAGTTTTCTAGCTGCATAGCGTAGAAATTAAAATTGTACTCTATGCTGTTAAAAAACTGCTCATAACAAACCTCGTCAATTGCAAAATTATATATAAGTTATATTATTAAGACGTTTTTGAAGCTGTTTAATAAACTCGTAGTTCGTGTTTTATCACATATAAAACACTCCGCTACGCGTCGTGTTTTATATGTGATAAAACATTCCTACTCGTTTATTAAACAGTACATAAGCCTCAATTTAAGGTAAAATTCAACCACAAACGCTTCGCAAAACGTTTTAAAGTCACTAGTATTCTTTATAAAACTAAACTGCTTTTTAAAATGGCTTTATCGATAAACTTTGAGTTTGCAATAAAATGATTTCAAATTCTCGTTTGCAAGTAACTTTGCTTCTTTTTTATTTAAAAAATTCAATATCATAAAAAGGAATCAATATTAAAGATACACTGAAATTATATGCTGCCTTAACAAGTTTTAATAGTTGTTTCATATACGCAAAGGCCGTCGGGTTTTAAAGCCATTATAAAATCAATAATTAAAACAAACTTACCTTCGTTAACGTCGGCTCCCTTCTTTTAGCCGATTCTTTTGCAGTTTCTTTTTGAGAGAGCTTTTGAAATTTACAAAACATTGCCAAAAATGGGAGCAAAAATGAAATATATTTGCAAGAAATTTAATTTATCATTCATCAAATCAAGAAATGTTTGCTATTTCGCTGTCGTCATGCAGTCGTTATAATGCAAACTTTAAATTGGACCAATCAGTGTCCGCTATTCATGACAGTCCGCCATATTTTTTAGATTAGTGAGGATGACCATGCACCCACACAACACCCTACCATCGTTGGTGACCCACGCCCGCGATATTTGATGAACTTTAGACTTCGCTAATGCTTTCGTTTCCCCGGGTGTAAATAGCCGGGGGGAATTAGTACCCTCTAACGGCGCTTCGCGCCGTCGGCTCGGGGATAATAATAATCTTTATTCAGGTAGCCAATATCACCCGAAGGTGATTTACAATTGGGTCCTGTATTTACCTAATTAGAAATAAGTTACGAATTTGCTTAAAATATATATACAGTTAACAGAGTATTTACGGAATAGCGAGTTACATACAATAATAAGTTATTTACAAAGCCTTCTCTTAAAAATAGCAAGATTTGGTGCTTCACGGATGGTCACATCGAGAGTGTTCAATCATCTACTGATTTATTTATTGTTGTCCATTGACCCCAGTTTGTTCTAGATTTAGATTTACGGATGTCCTTATTATGTCTGGTATTATAATTATGAAAATCCTTACTCTGCCTATGGCCCTATAATCAAATTTATGTAAAAACATATTAGTTACACATTTGTACATAAAGATAACACGATGTTGTGCTCTCCGAACTTCTAATGGTTTCCTTGCCAGTTGCCTCAGTGCGTCAGTACCAGAGTGATAAGGTGGTAGGTCAAGAATAATTCGGGCAGTTTTATTCTGTAAAACCTGCAAGTCTGCCATAAGTGAAGAATTTCGTCATCTCCCCAGATTATATCACCATAATCTAACACTGGTAAAATCAAACTATTGTAGAACATGATCCTCGCATATTGTGGCAGCAAATGTTTGATACGCCTGAGTAGTCCTAACTTTTTGTTGTTTTTACTTCTAATGTGATCTACATGGTCCTCCCATGAAAGGTGATTGTTAATTTTAATTCCCAGATAGTTAAATGTTTCAACTTCGTTGTAGATTGAAATTTCGAGTCTGATTTTACAAATTTATCAGACCTAACAAGGAGCATGCCGTTGCCGAAAATGCAACTGTAGGCCCTCTGGCAGTTTCGATTCCTTCAACAAATTGTTATATCGGGCTCAAAATCCAGACGTTTTCGTAGTCCAACGGAAAATTACCCTTGACACATGGCGCCTGTTTAAACCAGACAGATATTCTTTAAACAGGATCCAACGTATGATGGTCAAAATTGCTATTTAACACATCCACACACGTATTGAGACCATAGAGGAGTTTCGTCTGCATGGTAATGTCGTTCTGCTTCAACCATGCCTGCATGCTATTCTTGCTTGGAAACATATTCAAAAACACCCAGTTACCAAGTTTGACTTGACGATTCTTTCTTTGGGGTCTTTAAAAATTTTGAAAAAAAATATTTTTTTTTAAGAATCTTTTTAAATTTTCAAAATGCTTTCAATTTTCGGAGTATCTATTGTTTTGTATTTTGTATTTACGAAAGCTTAATTTTCAAAATCGAAATTAGTCCGGCCCTTAACACTAATATTCAATCTCCTCCTTTAAGCCGGTTTTCCACTAGGCGTAATTTTGCGCGCGGAGCGGAATTTCCCTTTGTCTTTTCTAATTAGTTCCACCCGAGAAATCACAAGACAAAGAAAAATTCCGCTCCGCGCGCAAAATTCCGCCTAGTGGAAAACCGGTTTTAGTTATAATAGATAGCTTAAGATCTACGACGTTGACGTCCAGCTAGGACGTCAGGGCCAAACAGAGGACTGGGACTAGGACGTCCTAAATAAATAAACTTCCACTTAAGATCCACGACGTCGACATTTAAACTATGAACATTTACATCCTTTTAAAAATGAATTTAAAAGAGACGTGTGAATCCATTACCGTTTGTTATGCTTTTGTATCCACGACGATAAAACTCTTGTTGTGAGGTTGTCAACGTTTGGTGGACGTCGAGCAAATTGAGAGAGACACATGCACAGTTCAAGAACTATTACCAATTTACTTCCGCTTGCCGCCCTAGATATTTGACGTCGTAGATATTCAGATATCAGGGACCTTAAGCATGTACGACGGCAACGCGACGACGACAGCCAAAACAAACTTCTTCAAATAAATTATTGCGAAGAAGAGTTGTTGTGTATTATCCACTACATGTATATATGAATTGAGTTCAGTTTGAAGAGATTAAAACAAAGGCTTTATGGTTAAAAACGCTTCTGCTGAGCAAATTTGTAGTTTCACTTGTCGCGTCTTGACATGTTTGCGTTGTACACGAGACGTGAAAATCTCTGTTTTGCCGTTGTAAAAAGCCCTAACACAACGTCTCTAACTCCCGTGGGGCTTTTAATTATTTATTTCTTTTGTACGAGATCAGGAATATCATTGTGTGAATAGCCGTCGTCGTCGCGTTGCCGTCCTGTTTGCTTAAGGTCGCTATCTACTTATTTAGGACGACGTCCTAGTCCCAGTCCTTTGCTTAACCCTGACGTCCTAGCTGACGTCGACGTCGTAGATCTTAAGTTATCTACTATCAACTTTCAAATACTAACCAAGCGTAACCGTTTCCGTAATTTTCCGAATCAGAAACAACAAATGTGATTTTATATTTGAATTAATCTGTATACATGCAGGTAATTGTTGTCATTTATAGACCCGGAGCGAGGGGGATTCGGCTGTGGAATATTATAGTATCTCACGCTGCATTGCGAAATCATGAATTTGAGTGAAATACCGTAAAAAAAATCACATTATCACGTGGTACAAATGCTGTTTTTTCATCGGACAATTTGAACTTGAGGTATAATATTATACACTTAATGTCTGCTCCCGAGGGAAATAGTTAGTTTTGTTTTCCCGAGAGTCTCAATGTTTCCCGAGACGAAGTCGAGGGAAACATTGAGATTCGAGGGAAAACAAAACTAACTATTTCCCGAGGGAACAGACATTAAGTGTTTTGTTATATAGCGACGAACAAAAATCAACTTCAACAACATTCATATACAACAATTGTTTTTCGTGGCAAAAACTCTATAGAGTAAACGAGTTTAAAATTAAAGAACCTACTTAAACGGTTTCGGCAGCATATCCTGTTTCCTGTTCTGTATTTTTCTTCCCTTTTACATTCTTTATTTGAACACAAACTTGGAAAATCGTAGTTTGTAATTATCGTAGTTGTGCCGCCATTTTGTTTATTTATGTACGTGGCCGGTCGGGGCGGGCAACAATTTTTCACTTGTTGCCCGGCGGGAAACATTGCATTTATCTGAAGTCACGTGACCACAAATCAGCCAATCACGTTTGGTGTTCACGCTAGCTATATAACAATTTAATTTAATTGATGATTCTCTTTGTATTTCCAGGAGCAATTAGACATGCGTCTTCAGCAGAGACAAGCAAGAGAAACTGGTATTTGTCCAGTTAGGCGAGAACTGTACTCTCAATGTTTTGGTAAGCTTACATACTGTGTCTTACTTATTTTATAGAACATTGTAAAATTTATACTGGTATGTAGGTCACATGTGCACACTTGTAAATCGCAGTAAAGAACAGAAAGTCATGTTAGAGAAACTTGAACGTGTGTGACAATTTCTACAAGCCATTTCAGTGACATCAGTGATCATATTTTCTTTCCCAAACTATCATCATAAAATTGGAGTGTTCGCAATAAAGCGGACCTACAGGTATATTTGGTTAACTACGTCTTCTATTTTTTTTCTTGATGGTTTAAGATGAATTAATTCGTCAGGTGACTATTAACTGCGCAGAACGAGGATTACTCCTTTTGAGGTAAAATTAACTGTAAAGTTATTATACAATCTTGGACATAACTAGTTGAGACTATGACTTTCAGTTTATGATAAATTTCATATATAAATCATGTTGTTCTGTTGGCTGGAAAGTTTTCAAAACCAAAGGTTATATGTCCAAAATTGTACGTAATGTGGTTGTTCGTTCGGTTTACATTTTTTCCCGTTATGAAAACTATAGACAGTCAGCAAATTTTTCATGTGACCAAATTTTTCATGTAACCAAATTTTCCATGTGAGGGTGGGGTGAGGGGCGGGAAAACTATTATCCATCCGTTTACGGTTTATTTAACATAATTTGGTTATGTTAAAATCCTTTCGTAACTTTGACGGTATCGATTCGCCATATAGTTCCGCTATTCATTATACAGTTTTTATGATTCTCAATCATCACGTAACACCTAATGACATTACTAACTAGAAATACATGCATGCAGCAATCCCTCGCCTGTATTTTTGAAACATTTATTTGACATGAAGTAAACACCGGAATCGCAGGTTCGATTCCTGCCAGAGGACCAATAATATCATTTTTCGCAACTGGTCCTGGTTAGATCTAATAAATGTATAAAAATTCCACTCGAAATTTCCATCTACAAATAAATCCCTTCGCTAATGCTTTCCAATTCCTTTTCCCGAGTGTGAATAAGCTTAAGTAGTATTTAAAACACGAGAAGGAGTGTTTTATCATATTTAAAACGCGAGGCGCAGCCGAGCGTTTTAGATATGATAAAACGCGAGTTCGAGACAGTGTTTTGAATAGCTTAAAATACGACTACAAAAGAATGCTAATTTAATAGGATGAACAATTATATAATCATACTAATTAGGATGAACAATTATATAAAGAATACTAATGAAGATGAGTTTTATCAGATATAAAGTCACTCCACGTGACATATTATGGCTGACATGATTTGCCACAAAGTTTATGAATTATTAATGAGTATTTTAAGTACTGTTTAATAAACGAGCAGGAGCGTTTTATTAGGTTTAAACGCGACTACAAATTCAATACCGGGTGGCCCCCAAAAAAGTACTCCTGTTTGATTCGTAATAACATCTAAACAAGTATAGCTTTTAAAGAGAAATAACTTGCATCAAATAGAGGAAGGACTAACTTAGACTTTGATATATTACAGTTGTATTTCACTTAAAAATTAACGGAGATATTAATCTTTAAATTCGGGAGGATATTTCTGGATGTGTCTGAAATATGCAAAAATCGGCGTATCAAATATTAATCAAGATTTGCCCGACTGAAACATGCACTATTACCAGTAAATAAATGACACATGACAAATTGTTTATTATGAAACAAAGTATTATTATATCTACAAAATACAAGCAAGATTCATTCGTCCGAAATTCGCGTGTGTTCCTAGCACGAATACGTTTCCTTATTTCATGAGACCACTGCATCGCGAAGGATCGTCATTGGATCGTTAGTAGTTCTGAATTAGGGCATGCTGTCACAACGGAATTGTGAAGCTCTTCTAACTTCTGCAACGTTCTGAAATCTTGTTAAGAACACCCAAACTCTTTTGCCGTTTCTTAATCTTGGCAAGTTCATGGAGTAAACTGAGAATTATAAGAAACACAATCAAACCATACAACTCCATAAGACATAACAATTAAGCAACTCCCCAGAGACATGCAACATTTTTGGAACAAAACGTAACAAAATAGTAGCGTTGATACGGTGATGTGTATTTGCAAAAAACAATATTATTTCCTTCAATAAAGAATATTCATCCTGCTCTAACCGAGAAATAATCTACTCAGTCTGTTTGAACCCATTAAAAACATAAAAAAATTAGGCTATTTAAGAATACGAAAGATTTAAGCGCCTGCCTTCCATGGTCAGTCTTTCATGTACATTTAAGTTTGCAAAGACCTAATATTAAATACTTGCATAATTTCGAACGTTCATATTTCATGAAACAATGAGCTAAGACTTACATGTAAGATGTCTAAATCTACGCCATATCCCTTACAAACCTTAACGATAATTCGCTGAAATACAAGTTAGCCTAATATGTCATTAAACAAACAAACGCTGGAGTTAATATTTGATATGCCGATTTTCGCTAATTTTAGACACATTCCAAAATATGCTCCCCATTTTTAACATTAATAGC